CTATTTTAATTTCTATGAAAATATAAATATGTTTTTCTCTCTCTTTTTTTTTTTTAGGAATAAATTCGTTGATTTATATAGTTGAAATTCGTGATTCATATATATATATAAAGAAATAATTTATTTCATAAATTTTAGGTTGTGGAATTTATTTGGGAACATCTTTATTTAAAATAAAAATATTTTTTATTTTATTTGAAGAAATTATTTGATCTAATTTTATTGATATATTTTAAATGTATCTGTGAATGAAGCAACAAATGTTATACAAATATTATACAAATTATTTCTATGTAATTTCTAATCCATGGCCATTAGAATGGAACATATTTCGTTGTTATATAAACTACCTTCGACAAGGGTGAAACCAGAATGGGAATCAGAGAATTCACGTAGTTTCCAACGGAATTTGAACATGAGCTACAAGATTAACGCAACTAGAGCTAGTTTACATTAATTAAGCGCAATAACTACAATTTATGCACTACGTAAAGATAAATACGTCAAATTTATTGAAATTTCGAATAGAATCATTTTCTAATAAATTCGATATAATTACCTTAATGAACGTAATTCTTAATCATCACAAATTTAAAACTACCGAGAAAATGAACTAAGAGAGCAAGTTAAAATCGTCCAGTTCAAAAAATTGCAAATGAGAAAAACTTAACGATATCGAATCCTTGAAAATATCGATCTTATTTCTATTGAGAGTATTACTTGAATTAATTAAACTGGCTGGACTAATAACAGGTTTCTCCACGATTGATTTAATATTTCAAATATCCTTTTCTCTCGTTCGAAACGATAGTTTAATTTAAAAAAATAATGATTTAATTTTTCAGATTATTTCATTCATTAATAAAATAATCAATCATAAAATAAAACAAGCAAACAAACAATTGATTTATTCAACTAATATCAGAAAGAGGAAAATATTATTTTAAATAAAGTATCGTTCGAATAAAATATATCAAAATATGCAATTTTTGCAAAATATTAATGATTTTATAATGTAAATTTACTTATACAAAATTTACAATAAAAATAACTTTTCTGTGACACTCTACAATATAATATAAATTATTGGAATTTTCTTCTACAAAAATATTATATCATTCAAAATTTTTCCAATTTTCAATACTATATCGTAATCAAAACTTTCATTAAATCTATTTATATAATATTCAATTATATAAATAGAAGAAAATTATATAACATGTGTAATATATTTGCATATTTTCATAATTCTCATTTCAATAATAATAAAATATAATTTTTAAGAATAGATATAGAATAGATATAAATTCATTATTAATTGCAAAATTGAATAGGAGAAATCGAGCAATTCATTGAACGCGTAACAGGATGAAGAGGAAGATGTCGTAAGTTAGTCGCGAGTTCTGGACTTGGACTAATTAAAAGCACGCTCCAATTAAGCCGAAATAACGAGGGTTTGCGTTCACATCGTGTCATGGCTAAACTCTGTTCAACCACGAAATTTCTGATCCTTTTCCTGTATGTAGCTGCAGGTGATGGTTAACAATAGTGGTAACGAAATTGCTGTCCATTCTTTGCCCAATTTCGATGCCAATCTATGTATCTGCAAATCGATTTCTTGTTATTCACGTGGGATCGAGTTGTTATTAAATTTTTCCTCGGACCTCCGATATTTGTCAATTTCAATTCTGTTTGGAATCGTATCAATTCTATCATTTTTCCTTTCCTCTCTTTCTTTGGAACGATGAACTTTTTTTTCTTTTCACTTTTAGAAACGATGGTTAATCTTGACCATGAAAAGATTACTGTTTTTCAAATATTTATTTTTCATTCTGATAAAAGAATTTTTTATTTTTATTGCAAAAATTCCTTCTCTTCAACCATGAAAATTATAATTTCGTTCTCTCGAAACTCAATTATTCGCTTACCCAATTTTCTTGCAGATTCCTTTCGACTGGAAAGCCACCGAAATTGAGAAAATTCCTATTATTTTCGTCCACGAAACTGATAATGCAAGCAACGACGCACCCAAAAAGCAGTTAACGTTGATTATTTTCCTCGATAACAACTCTCCCCTGCGCGATTCCTCGCGTTTCCGTCGAATTTCCTGTTAGTTCGCGTCGAATAACGCGCGTTGTTCCACCCCATCGCGTTCCATGTTTAAACATCGTAGCAACGATATCGTAGCTACCGTATATGGATCAATGAGTCCAGATTCTCGATTCGCTTGTTAACGAGAGATAAAGCCAATAAAAATCGCGCGAAAATTAACTCCGTGGAAATATCCTTCCGATTAACTCGTAATGCACCGTTCCACGGTTAATTAGGAAATCGGCTGATATCGAATCATTTTAAAAAGCAGAATATTTTTCTTTTGTATTTTTCATTTCGTGGAAATTTTTTTCTTTTGTTTTTAATTTGATTAGACGAATGAAATATTAATAAGCTCGTCTATCACAAATTTTTGGAAATTTATTTAATCCGAAAATATGATTTTGAAATTGATTTTATTCTTGTGTATCGAAATATGAAATTTAAAATTCGTATTATCGGATAATTAATCGTATCATGTAATTAATGTATACCACGATATAAAATATAAAAAGACGTATTTATTACCGATGATGACATAATTATAATTATAATTAAAACGATAATAAGCAATGAGATGAAATTGAAAACACATTATTAAAGCCATCGACAATTTTATAGAAAATTTCACATTTTAAGTGAACGAGAAAAAAATTTTGATAATAAAAATAATACAACGAAGAAGATGGTAAAAAGATGCAAATTCTAAACAATTTAAATAAACGAATGTTTTTTAATCTGTTTAAAATAATTATATTTCATTTTGAATATTTTATTTTTGTAGATTTTTCAATTGCAATTGAATTTTTACGAACGATATTATTTATGGAAAATAAGAATTAATTATTTGCCAATTAAATAACATTTCTTAAACGTGATGATAATATAGAAAAGTGTCTTTAGATATCTTTAGAAAATTTGTCTAAAAGTTTTAAGAGCAATCGAGAAACTTGTCAAAGAAGTTGAATGTTTCCTTATCTCTAGAAAACTTGGCAAGTTCTCCACAAGGACCACATAGAGATCTCGTTTGCTCTCGTGTTTGTCATAATCAAACATATATCGTACGTGTGTTTGCGCCGAAAATTAGAACCGCATAAAGCAACAAAGAGAATCCCAATTGATTTCACGTCCAAGAGGATAAAATAAAAGGAGGAAGAAAATTGATTCGATCCTTTGTGGCGAATATCAGATGGATAAACAATTTTCGGTATACTCATTGGAAAAATAACTTGTCAGCTCATGGTCGGTTATTTTTGCAAATGAAATTGCAACAAAATTTCAACAAAAATAGGAAATTTGATTTGGCCAGAAATAAATTGCAATCTGATCAATGAGCTTTTGTGGCTTTGTATGTGTGCAGAAACAAAAATATGCTGGCGGAAATAATTAGATTGTTGAATGAAATGACTTTGATATTCCTCTCGAATTTTACACGAATTAATAATACGATTGTTATTGTCAATCTCGAAATTGTGTATTATATTTTGGTATAAAAATATCGACGATAAGGGAACGCGCTCATTTCTAATTTTGATTTGATGATGATAATTTAACAAGCATCAACTCTTGAATAATAATTCAAGAGTTAATATTGTTTATTTAATATTTATCTCAAATTATATTCGTAGCAATTTGTTTTTCTTATGCGATAAATTGAATTAAATTAAATGATATTATAACAAATATTAACAATTTTGTGAAAGAGCCGATAATAAACGAAGTTTGTTAACAATTGTTTTAAACAATTACATCATCGAATATATATTACACAAATCGATAACGTGACGCGTTTATTAAAATTCGATTAACAGAATAACAGTCTTAATATAATAGAACGAAAATTTTCGAGAAGGGAATGATGAAATCACGAAAAGTTAAAAGAACTGGCATCCTACTCGTGTGCAAACGACAAACACTTTTTTAATTTTCGCCGAAGAGTATGAAATGAATATGAAACGCGCTTCCAAGTTGGCGCCACGATGCTAATGTCATGCTCCTGCCTCTCTTTTCAACGCCTGTGACGGGTGTCTGGATTATTTTCATAATACCGGAAGACGTGCAACCTCGTTTATAAAATTCTCTCTGCTATCATCGTGAAAAATAACGGGTGACCAAAATTATTTCCCTTATTTTTTTATTACCATTTGGAACGAGTTTTATCTTTATTTCTTGCAAGTTTCTCATTTATTTATTTATTTTTTCTCTTTCAGATTTATAGATAATGTGATTTATATTATCTTCTTTTATTTATTTAAGTAAGTAATATTATAATTTGATTTCAAATTTAATTTATATGTTTGCAATTTAATTTATATGTTTAAAGAGTATATCGATTGTCACGATTTTTCTGATTTTTTCGTTAAGATTAACAAATATTTACAAAAACTTTGCACGAATAAAAATTTCTTGGAAATTTATTATAAAAAGAAGGATAGTTAATTTTTGTTGAAACATTTTGTTTTTAATATTCGTCATCCACATTCTAATTACCAAATACATAACAATATCTTTATTTTCTCCATTTAATTAATTAAATTAATACATTAATCTCTCTAAGTTCGACACAAGAAAAGCTAACAATTCGTTGTATAAATTATAAATTTGTCAATTTTTTTACGAATACGAAATCAATAACTCAGTAACATCCGCAACATTTTCCATAAAACCTAAACCTAATTATTGCAAAAATATATTCGAATAAAAATTCTTCGTTGAAGGGAAAAATTTACAATTATTTGACACGTTTATTTATTTTCAAGAAAAGTAAGTTTATTCATCCTTTTGATTTTAACTGGGTTGCACAATTTAGACGATTTCCTAGACTGGTAAAAAAAAGGACGATTCAGAAGAGTATTTAACGCGATATTTAAATCTTTGATTGACACTAACAAAAGACTTGTCTTTTTCAGGCGGAGCCGGCGCTCATGTACGACAGCGTGCAGGTGTTCGCCATTGGATTGAGGACCTTGGAACAGTCGCACGCGCTCAGGCCTGCCAACATCTCCTGCGAGATGGAACACCCCTGGGATGGAGGTTTGTCCCTCATAAACTACATCAACTCGGTGAGTTTCCACTTTTGCGCATGCTTTTGTAAAGAGACGTGGCTAGTGTAATTATTCTCGTGTGTATTTAAATCGTGTATTTTCGTGCCTTGTAGATTCTCGTAGAACTATTATAATTTTAATTACATACGTTGACTCGTTCGTATATATTGTAGATTATTGTTCTCAAGTTAATTGTTTTAAAATTAATTAGATTTTCGTGGCATATAATTATCTTACAATTTTATTCGCTTGGAGACACATTATTTGAAGATGATACTTTTTAGACGAAGATTTTAGTATCGAATAATTTCGCAAATAAAAACTTCGTTTCTGTCTGAATGACGAAGATTAAGCGAGGCACGCTGGATATTTCGTGATATATCTCGAGAAGTATTTGGACAGGGAACGTTCTTCGAAACGGAATTTAATGTTTCATCGCATTAGCGGGTCACGTTATTCACAGAATGATTGTGAATCGTCTGTGAGAACGCTTAAATCGAATTTAGATTTCCGAATATATAATTCATCCACGGTGAACGGTGTAACATTTCCATCTTTTTCATTGTTCAAAATGAACATACAAACTGAACGAAATAGTTTCTATCTTCAATCGCAAGGATCAATAATTCTCAACTCTTCGTCCACCATGGATACTTTACCTTCAAAATAACTTTTCGTTTCCCAAGATTTAAATTTGCATCATCAAATGTACTACATTTACTACATCTGTTAAATTCATCGAAATTGTCAATCACTCTTGAGTTTAAGATTTATTACGAGTAATAATAAAATAAGAAACATCGAATCCTTTCTCTCGATCATTGATTCGCATGTGTGAGAACTGCGTGGTTCGAGAATTCAATTTTCCTTGTTCAATACGAGAATATCGTCGTGCACGATCATTTCGAATTTCATATACGGAATATTGTTCAGAACGCATTTTACGAAATGAAACACGTCGGGGAGAGGATCGGTTCGTCCACCGATCCACTTTCAACGGGCAGCGACGTTTGTTACAACGCACGAAGAAACTTAGTCGACGGTTCGGGATGAATTACGGGATGCAAAGGGACTGGCCGGCTGCCAGAAACAACCGCATTCGCGATAATTGCGAGTCCTTTCCCGAAAGACGAATGGCTGTTTCACTCGCGAAAATTTCGAGAAAAACGATTTTAATCCCGTGCCGCGTTATAGTTACTCGTTTTCGAGGGGAATTTCGTTGCAGTTTGCAATTTACGAAATTTCGATCCGGGGGAGGGAAAGGAGGGATCGTTTAATGAAACTTTTGAAATTTTCCGCGATTTCAATAACGAACGGATTTCCGTTAAAATTGGGAATGGGTATATTAAGCTCGATCACCTCGATAGCTCGCCTAATTGTAACCGTTTCGCAGGAAATAGAATATAACAGATTAAAGCGATCTCATGGTTAATAACACGTTCGATAATCGATTTTGTTTAGATGATACACGTGAATCGAGAGCCATGCATAGAGGAGCGAGGATCAATTTTCGAGTTATTAAGCGCAATAAAATAATTTATAATGGTGAGATGTTAATAAAAAAAAAAGTAATTCAGTACAATTTTTCGTGCAATAAAAATTTTCTTCTCTTTCAGTATTCAATAAAAAATATTTTTTAATTAACAATGATAAATTGGTGATGGGTGATTGTGTACATTTTTGATGAAAATTAATTTCAAATTTAAAAAGTTTGCCCAAAGTTGAAATTAATTAATTCAATCATCAAGTTATAAGCAAATAACCAATAATTTGATGTATCATTTTGATACGTGGATCCACGTATGTTATTATGAAAGATAATTTATTTAATATTGATTCAAAGCAATAATTTTTTTTTTATTTTCCTAAATTTATTACGAATGAATCTTTTTCTTGTTGCATGGTTCCAGATTGCACACGAGCGTCCACATTCTATCAATCGTGTCGCCATTCATATTCAATCGTTTTACGAGATCAACGTATGGAAAAACTGTTTCTATGAATATCAATGAACATTTTCCAAACATCAAATGTGAATAAACTTAACAACAAATAATTTCCAGCCTGTCAGACGCATTGACTATAATTTATTCGAAAGGAAGTGAGTAGCTCGTGCATTTTTTCTTGGGTAAAACAACACCGTTTGTCATTATCGAAACAATTGCTACTATAAAATTCAATTTCATATCATGGTATTACGTGGCAGTTTACGATGAATTGACGTTATCTTTAATAGATTGAATCGAAGTTGCACGCTCGATACCTGAATAATTAGTAACCAGTTACGAGATTTTCGACGTTACACCTTTACCAATATTCGATGACTAAAGGTCAGCTGAGTGGATTCAAAGGGTTCGACATTTGCAAGTATCTCGTGGGAGAACATTTGTGTGTGGAACGTTATTAATTCAATAAAATATCTAAATTCCAATATCGATTCTGCCTTAAGGAATCTCTCGATACATATCATCTTTCACAGAGTTAAAAATAAGAATTTAAAAATATTTATCAGTCTACTTTACTCAAATCCTGATAATAAAAGAGATTCGATTTCAAATTCAAAAAAAAGCAATGAAGCAAGAATCAAATTCTGTTGAGAAATATTGGTTTAAAAGCAATAAATTGAACATATACCTGGAAGAAATATGTTTCATAAATAATTATCAATCAACAAAGAGAAAAACGCAACGAGGAAAAGAATCGGCAGAAAGAAAGGCGTATCGTTCGAGGGGATGGAAGAAACGTAAAAAGTTGGTGCGTAGGAAGGGGAGAAACCTTAAAGCGAAAGCTTTGACCATCGAGAAAGAAATAAGCCACTAAATCTGCCAAAGGAAGTATTTTTAAAAAGAAATAATAAATCGGTGAAACCGAGAAGCGTCACGATTATAAACAAGAAATAAAGAGCCTCTCGAAAAATCATTTTTCAATGGGATTCCCGTTTCGAACGGGAAGAGAAATGAATTGAATTTATATCGTTTGTTATACACAATTTCGCCCGGCACAATGTTCAACACGGTGTGTAACATAGAACCGTTCTCCGCCTTTATGAATGCGACGCGACGTATCGACATTCGTGCGATAAGCAGCGATGTTCGATTTACCGCGAAATCGTTTTGATTTACGAGCCCACCGGCATTCACACGGCTGCGTACTTATGCCTTGTGCGGAAGATTAGTCGCGTAATCGTATCTTCTGTTCCGGAAGGAGATAATTGAATCGTATTTTGGAGAAAAGGGGATAAATTGGTACGTGGATGAAGCTGAGCCAAGAGGAGAAATTGAATACGTGACGGAAATTAATAGCCGTTTAATACTCCGATGAAACACAGGATGAAATATAATCGTGGTAAAGTGAAAAAAAAAATCATCAATTGTATTTTTTCCATTATGATGTTTTCAATACAGGCCATTTTTGAATTACGAGTTTATTAGTTTCGTCGTTTAATGCAATGTTGTTGTCTCATAATTATAGTAAAAAGTGTAGATGAAAAGTCAGACAAATAAGATAACGTTAGCTAGAGTTGTAAAAGTAGTGTAAGTCGATCATTGACGGATACGTAGCATAGAATAATCAGATTAAAAATTATAGTCATTGTTGATTAAATAAAGCAGAACAATTATGATCGACCAAAGATAATAGGCTCATTACGATCAATCAAATAATGAACAATTATAATCAATTGAAAGCAATACGTCAATCATTATAATAGATCAATTAAGAATAAAAATAATTATTTAAACAAGTATAATTAGCAAATAGAATAGAGCAATGTATTATATAATATTCAATGATTATACTCGATATTCAGTAATAAAAAACATAAATGAAAATGGCGTGATAAAGTAATGATAGATTGCAGACTCGACAATCTCTGTTAAAGAATCATCATCGCACAAAGAACAGCATGTCGATTCTTTCATATATATATCTCTCTTTTAACAATATTCCTTAACTTCTTTTTTCATATTTGATCCATTATTCAATTTTGAACGATCGTCCACCATGCTCGTTTCGTCGAGCATGTTTCAGAAAATGTTTTCGCACGAGGAGCCCATTTATAGAGCCATCAAACGAACCCGTGGCGGTTTTCGAACGGCTCCGTTAAATCGATTTTGTAACCGAGCCCTAACGACCCCATTTCCCCCCCGATTCACTGGCGGCAAAGTATTTCTAAATTGAGAAAAGGAACCCGATTTGCCAGAATTGTGCCAACGGGTATAAACAGAGGGGGGGATAGGCCAGGCTCGTGCCAAAATTTGGTCTAAAGATGGTCGGGAAAGCGTACGGACAAACAACGCGGAATAGCTAATCCCGCGATAAACGCGTTTGGAAACGCGCCAAGTAGTTTTATGACTTGGGCGTTATCACGCCGCGCTTTTCAAACGGCGGAAAAAAGTGTCGTTTATGAACGCTGTAGCTCGTTACCGCCGTTAAAACCGTAAACACCGGCCACGTTTTAAAATCGTTACCCATTTCTTACGCGATGTTCTCTCTCTCTCTCTCTCTCTCTCT